TTGGAGTGATACAAGTCGAGGTGAGCTTGTCGAAATATTGAGATATTGTCGAAATTTTACAAGCCCTACTTGCTGGTAGTGTAGACATGGGCAAAATTTCCGAAGCTGAATTTAATCTCAATCTTTTTCGGAGTCGTCTCTCGGGGGATTACTTGGAAATTTTGTTTACAAACAGGAATTCGACATTCTGTTTGTCGACAAAATTTTCAGAACAATCAGCCAAGAGACGGCTGAGAACACGAAGGGAAATTAGGTTTGGGTTTGGAATTTTCCCATGCCTACTGTAGTGTTCCTCTCGGCTAATTCCGGGGCCCTCTTTAGAAAAGCTAAAAAAAAATCAAATTAAAAAAGGACAATAAATTAGCATAGTAGTAAAAGTTTGTTAAAATTCTATTATATATCTATTACTAGGCTGAGTACTGTAGCCTGTACGCGGAATGTGTGGCGGTGGCGCGGTTGGAGGAACGACTCTGTTTAGGGAACTCACGGAAGAGGTGACTTTAAAATCTACATTAAACTATAGCAAGACAATTTACGGTACTTTGCAATTTTATTTTCGATACTTTAACTCATATTAAATATTAGAAAAAAGTGAATACCTTAATCTAGAGTCAATACACTAATCTAGGCTGAATATCCTAATCTAGACTAAATACCGTAATCCAGCTAATCTTAACTCAATGCCTTAAAATGGCGTGCATACGGGTCATAAGTATCCAAAAGAATTGACGTACGTAGCGTGTTGATTTTTGGTTTTTGCCTGTCGTTAGGCTCGCGCGTCAGCGGCGCCTAACACAGACACAAACCGCAAAAAAACGATACGTATAAACAGGTGCAGACGGTGCAAAGGCCACAAAAAACGTATTTGCATAAAATATGGCTGGTCTTTAGCATTTACGGCGATGAGATGTAGATATTCGTAATTAACGCAAAAAATTGAGTTGTAGGGTTTTCTTTCGAATAGAGAGATCGGAAAGAGAGATCGCAGATTTGGGGAGTGTTCTTTTTGTACTTTCGATAAAGTTAATCGCGTTAAAGAGTTGGAAAATGACCGCGCACCACAAGAGCTAACAGATTTGAGCCATCTGGCCCTAGAGCACTCAGCATGGAAAGCTTAGGCAGAAAGAAATTTTAAAAGGAAATGCTACGCAGGAGTACGCGATGATACTCTTTACCCGGTCTTCTATTCGAAGAAATACGGTAAATAAATTCTAAGTTTTTCATTCATGTTGATACTTACTTTTTTGGTCGACCGATTTTGGGATATTGAAAAATTGAAGCACATTTGCTTTTATTCGAATTATTACGGTATATCCATTGCAATACCTTACAGACCCTTTTGGTTACCCCAACTAAATGATCCGCACGAGTGCCACGAGAAGCTGAAATAGACTATAAACGGGTAGTTTTTAAATTTTTGTAGTTTTTTTTTCTAAAAATGATTTCGATTTCAGCTGGAGTTACTGGAGGTGGAACTGACTCAGTTTACTTCGTGTACGCTTGAAAAGAACGGCACACAAAATGAGGTGAGACTTTCAACATCAAAATTGTTTTCAAATGATCAAGATTCTTTTCAAATTTCATCAAGACTGGCTCTTTTTAGAATGGGATCAAGTTGGGGAATGCTAGTTCTAAAAAGAGTCAACGAAAAGAATTTTTTCTAATCATTTCTTCAAAAAAGTGATAATTGAGAAAGAAGAACGCTTTTTTTCATTTGAAAAACGGAAAAAATCCAACTTTCAGCAAAAGTGCTTAAGCAAAATTGAAATAAAAAATAAAAACAAAGTATAAAGATATTCAACTAAGCAACTGAAAGCTCATTAACGGTTTAAAGCTGCTCCCTAGAATGCTTCTTGTTCACGAATCGCCGAGAATACACCGTACCTGTTCGTGGACGCACGGATCGACTATGGTAATGAAGCATTGTTTTTCGGGAATCGATGCAAGAACGACAAGACAATGCGGGACCATTGAAACGATGTTGCTCGAGTGTTATTGAGTAGGTTTCATGGCGTGGTGAGAGCAGGCTACTTCACTTTAAAAAGAAAGACTTTAAAGCATTTTACTGTAAATTACCATCCCGTCTATAGATTTATTTAAAGATTATTGGGGGTAGCCGAATTTCGTCATCATATTTGCGTTAACACGCCATAACTTTCTTCTAAGTGATACTTAATCTTCATGATTTTTGTTTCATTTTGTTGCACTTATTGAGCTCTACAAAATGACATCAAAATCATGGCTGCTGACCGATGTAGAAGGAAGTTATAGTGAAAAAATTTGACCCAAAGTAGCCATCTCAACAAGAAATGGAATGTATTTTTGAGCAACTCTTGAACGTCGAATCTTTTGAATCTCGATCACCAGGAGTTTACCGAAACAGACGCTGATTATTCGGCATTTTATACCATAATGCGTATGCGTACAATTGTCTATTCATAATTAAATACAAACTCTTACACGATTAAACTTTTCCTAGGTACAAACAAAAAACCGAAATCTAGTCTCCTTTGACCAATCTCTCTTCGAAAATCCATCAATCAAGCCTTCTTCAATCAATCAAGTTTATTTCTCACAATCTAGATAAAGCCAATTTGAACCCAAATGACTCAGTCAAAAGAGAAATCGGCGGAATTTTTCCAATTTTTCCAAGAAAGACTGACTTTGACTTTTTGATTTCAGCTGCTTCTTTCTTCTAGATTCCAGGTTTCTTGCGGGCCAAAGCACTGATCTCACTGCAGAAAGTGGGAGGCTAAGGGAAAAAGGGGAAATCCCCACGGAAAGCGGTGTGTTTTTTGTGAGAGTGAGGTATGTCTGATTTTGCTCGGATGTTGCGCCAATAAATCTTTGTCGCAGCTGATCCAATGATCCAAATGTATCCACATTAGTACTAAAACTTATCTAAATTTATCTAAGATAACCAGATCTGTACTAGACGTTAGCCAGTAGTTGCTCAGAGGTAAATGCAATCTGGATCCATTAGAAAACATTTAATATCTTCAAAATTCACAGAAATTAATTTAATTTTAATTTTTGCGCCAACAATTATAAGAAAGAATACATTTTCTTTGCAAAAAGCGGTTTTAAAAAACAAAATTTTCAAAGGAAACAGGTGGAAAGAAATATTCTTTGCGTGCTTGGAGCTTTTTTTGAATCTATAGAACATTAAAGGTGTACTCCGGCCCGGAAAGTTATTTTCTAAAAATCACGACTATTTGTATACCAATCGACGTCTCCTCTAAAAAAGGATTTCTGAATAAAGAAAAAACCTAGAAAACACTAAAAACCCCGGAAAACTCTTCACCATGACACGTTATTTCTTGTTTCGAGATATCTGATCTCAAGGACTTCGAACTGAGTGAGAACTAAGACACTTTTATTCAATAGCCGACTCGACTCGGAATCTTGGGGGCTCTCACTTGAGCAATTTTCAAACAAAATCGACAATTGAATTAAAAGCGACGATAAAAGCAGAAAGAATTTCGTCCTTAATTAGGAAAAACTTTCACACGATGAAAGGAAAGCAGAAAAAAGTAAAAAGAAGAAAAGAAACGTCAAATGAATATTATTTGAACGTTGCCGCTAGGGCTTTGCTGAATAGCTGAATAGCCAAAGTAAAGCCCGTTAGTAGGCTTAACACAAGATATTCAGCTAACAAGCTACAAAACAATAAATGATTTGGGGCGCGAAATAGAATGAAGGCGTTAGGATTTCCGCAATACTTTTCCACTTTGGGGCTAAAATAATTAGGCAACTTTTTAGTGGCTATTCGCCACAACATGATTTAGATAATTTTTTTAGGGAATTTATGTGACATTTTCTTCCTGAAATAAGTTTAATAAAAAAGGTTTTATTGCTAATAAATATCCAAAAGTAAGTCATTAATAAGAGAAGGATCGAGTTTTATAAATCTAAGCTTATAAAAATCAAAAAAATAAAACAAACTCTAATGTTTTAGATGGGAATTCGATCTTGTCGAGTTCTCCTGAATACGATCGGGAATTCAAAAGGCCGCGTTTGAGATGCGGAAAAGAGCGAATGATTGTGAGAGGTAGGAATTTTCAAAAATATCATGAAATGGTCATAAACAATTGCAATACATGGAACTTTTGAGCTCACAAGTCGTTTAGCGAATCAAAATTGGTTTATGAAAAAAGAATCGGGAAGAAAGCATTCGTATAGGCGTTAGAACAAACTCGGCTTTCTAGATTATTTTTACAGTTTACTAAATTTGACGGAACCTTTATATACCAGAATTAACTCTCTACTGTAGTTTTCAGACTCGTCTAGACTCGTCTAGAGTCGTTCCAGAGTCGTCTAGACTTGTCTAGAGTCGTTTCAGACTTGTCTAGAGTCGTCTAGACTTGTCTAGAGTCGTCTAAATTCTGTCTAGACTCGTCCAGACTACGGGAAGAATTTCTCGACCTAAAAAACCAGCAAAAGATTTCCAAAATCGATTCATCGGAACTCGATCGCCAAATTTGACCAAAAGGAACCAGATCCCAGTTGTTTTTGATTAACGAGGAGAAAGTCTTCACTATTTAACATTTCGAATCTATAGGACATTAAAGGTGTACCTGGAAAGTTATTTTCTAAAACCACGACTATTTGTATACCAATCGACACGTTTCAGCTCTCTTAAAAGGATTGAATAAAGAAAAACCTCGAAAAACACTAAAAATCCCGGAAAAAACTAGGAAATCCGATTTTTGCTCGAGCCATTATAAGCCGTTCTGAGTGCCCGACGTGTCTTACCGGTTTTGCCGGGTGGTTAGTGGTTAGTGGTTAGGGATTCCACAGCCATTTCTGGGCAAGCAACACCGCAACAGGCAATAATTAAGTAAAAAAAAGGACTTAAACTTGTTCCAATATATGGGTTTCCTTTCCAGCTTTAAACCTAGCAATCTACTAGTTTCCATAAATATTAAACAACCTGTAGTTCAAAAGTTACAAAAAAAATTGTGTAAAACAATAACTATTTAAAAAAATCATGATTTGCTATGTTAACTGATTTTATTCAAAAACAAGGTGGTCTCGAGATTTCCGGATTGGCTGAATATCGCTCAACGGGTGAAAAAACCGAATGGTGGGATGGAGGATGAAAAGAAAGAGAAATCCATTCTCACACCATCTGGGACAATCACTATCACGTCAGTGTTTCACCCTTACAAATTAACGTTTGTATCAAATTGGACTTGAGAGTTTTGTCCGCTTTTTTAAAGGTTACTTTTGAAATGAATAATGAACCAATCGATTTATCGTTTTTATCAGAGAGTCCTATTATTTATTTACAAATTGCTCTTTAAGAAAGTCTGTTAGTTCATTTGGAATGAGGGGATTGGAGGGGATAATTTGTAAAATTTGGACCAAATTTCTCACACCAATGGGACCAAATTCTGTTAGTTCATTTTTAAAGGGCTTAGGCTTAGGCTTAGGCTTAGGCTTAGGCTTAGGTTTAGGCTTGGACTTAGTGCGAAGGCTAGCGGCCAGCGCCTAGCACTAAGTCTATTTGGGGTCGATGCCCCGACTTTCCGATCTCAGTCAGGTTTAGACTTCAAATTAGTGGCTCGAGGAGTCAAAAACGATGAAAACTCAGGTTTTGATTTGAGAAGTATCTCTCAGCCAAACCGGTTCAGCCAGTGACAAAAAACAAAATAGGGGGGGGTCGGGGGGGGTCCAAAAAAAAAACTAAACCCGCATTTATTGTTCGGTACCAATGAGCTATAGCTTTTTTCGCATTAGTCCAGCCTCAGATCATTCTGAAAGATCGATATCAAAAGGCAACACTGCATCAGCTGTCGCCAGTACAAACATCGAAAAAACTAACCAACCGGTAAAGAAAATGATTGTTTGAGCCGCGCTAAAGAACGAATTAGACTGGATACCAAATCATTTTCCGTGGTATAAGACGGAAAACCGGTCTTTGTCGTTTCAGCCAGCCGTCACCATCTCCAACTGGAGTCGATGCAGAGGACCGGCGAAATCGAACCAGTTATAATGATTTAAATACGGTAACGGAGAATAAAAATACTTTACAATAAATCAATTAGGGCAATCTCGACTAGCTCTGGATAAACACGAGAAACAAGTGAAAGAGATGTTGGAAAAAGAGGGGCAACCTGAGTTCATCCCTCCATCACACCTCGAACCCGAATTTCGGGATCAAAGGCATCTCTCTATTTCCGACAGGTTTAAATAAATTTTGGTCGAAAACTTCAGCTCGATTTACAATAATAAGATTTTACCAATTTCAGGAACAACAGGAAAGGGCTCTGCTTCAAGTGAGGTACAAGTGCCAGCAAGTGGCGACAAAGTTGAAGAAGCTGAAGCCGATTTTGGACTGTTCATTGGACGAGGACAATCGTCCGATGATACGGTAAGGGAAATGGAATCACTAACAATCTGGCATAACAATGGATTCATGAACAAAATCAATAGCAATTCTTAAGCAGCAATAAATAATTCCTTAAAGGAAATGCCTGCGGCAACGAGACACACCCCAGACCACCTGGGTGTTCTTCTGCCCGCACGTAATCGGGCTCGCGATCTGGCGCACGTCTTTTGCTTAAGCCCCTCCCCGAACCGCTCATAAACTTACCTGGCTGGCGGGTTTCTCGTGGATCAACAAGACGGGACTCCCCATGGTGAGACATGGTCATTGCACTTTTGACTGTGTTGACCTGTGTGGCAGCTCCGGAGTTGGGGTTCGCTAACAGCTAAATTTTGGTAAGTTATCGCGCGGCTCTGCCAAAGAATCATTTGAACCCCATCCTGAAGGAGTATTTGTGTTCCAATGCAAGTTGAAAAGTTCATGGATCCCAGTTGTTTATAATCAAAATTCTCAGCTTAAAAAGGGCAATGGTGATGGCGGGAAAGGAAAAAGAGGCTATCACGAAAAGCTTTCACTAACAACAACCACTAACAGGCCAATTCGATCACCGCCGATCACATGGAGGAGAAGAAAATGAGAACAGGACAACAACAAGTGTTATCCTAATAGAAAATGTTCTAAATCGGCACTCGTTCGAATCAACACAACTCTGCCGAAAATGGAGAAAGAAAAGTACCCATGGACGTTGAAAGTCGATCCGAAATTCCCACCAAATTCGGGGACATCAATTCCGAGGACGTCCGGTGGGCTGATATTGACCGGGAGATTTCACACAGAAAAATGAGACAATTCTCGAGGAAATGAATGCGAATTGGACAGATGGAGAAGGGACGATTAGGAAAAGGAATGGAAGATTTGATGGAAGATTTGATCGAAGATTTGGATTTGCTCATTTTCAAGGGACTTGAGAGATCCCCATCGAAGAACATTTACGCGATTTTCGGGAATTGATGAAAACGACGAGGAAAAGGGAGATTAAGGTTTGAACATTGCTAACTAATGCTTTGAATTCAATAAATCTCTTAACTAAACTAAAAACTTGAAAAAGTTTGATAGATTTGATCTTTCTTGGTTTCATTGGCTTCGTAGCCAAATTTGTATTTAACTGCAGCTTTGTTTCTTGATTTTGCGGTGACCAAGAAACGAGTATTCTTTTGTTTAACAGAATATCTTCTTTATGGCTCTACTTGTCGAGGGTCGAATTCCCCTCCGTTCAGAAGTTCTATGCAAATTTCCTTTTAGTTGATCGATCAAACACTTTCTTCGCTTTTCAAGGCGGCTGAAGTGCCATCTGGGGAGTGAAATTTCAACTTTATAAGATTATTGAGAAAGATCATAAGATTCAAATCGTCTGGGTTTACGAGGAAAATATAAGAGCATAAAAGAAAAGAAGACCTAGCGAATATAGCGACCTGGCGAATATAGCGACGGGGCGAATATAGCGACCTGGCGAATATAGCGACCTGGCGAATATAGCGACCTGGCGAATATAGCGACCTGGCGAATATAGCGACCTGGCGAATATAGCGACTCGGCGAATATAGCGACCTAGCAAGATCACCCGAATTTGGCGACATAAATCTCAATGACCAGAAATAGGAAATCCATCATATCGACAAATAAACACGGCAGCTTTAACGTCAAAATCATGGAACGGGTTCCTCTGGATCGCAGAAGTAGTCATCGATATCAGGGTGATCTTCAAGTCGAGCTCTCGGTAAAACGAAACTGATCAGGAAGGCATTTGGTGGAAAGCATTCTGGAAAAGCAAAATAATAAAAATGTATATTCATAAATCATTAGGAAGTGAAATAACATCTAATGATCTTTTATTAAATTCTTGTAAACCTTGTAATCTTGCAATTTTAGGAACTACAAACTTAGTGTACAAACTACAAACTATGTTTCTTTAGAAAAAGAGTTTACGAAACTAAATAATTTTCCCAATGTTTACTACAAAAAGAAACGAAGAGCGGCTTCAGCATCGTCAGCATGTTGAAGAAACTTGAGAGCTCAAGAATCTCACAAGAAGAATCTACTCTGCAGATGAATCAAGACTAGCTGGAGACACGGTCTGGTCAGAAGCTCGTTTCACTGAAGGAGAGAATGGACAAGCAGAGAGTCCGCCTTTTGTGGTGTTGGTGGGTTGTCGGTTTCTCGAGGATTTGAACTTCTTTGAGTCAAATTTGTCAAATCAATTCGTCGATCAATAACATCCACAAACTTTAGCAAAACTTTCTGAGAATCACTGAGAATTAAAGTCACTTTCCAGGGACTTCAGCTCCGAGGATCCTCATTCCCGACAACAGCGATGGATCGAGAAGAGCGCCGATTCCGAGCACGAATTGCGGGCTGAAACGGCTAAGAGCCACTAAATCTTCAAAGGGATTAAGTAATTTTTAATAATATATTGCTAAATAGTTAAATATTTTAAAGATAACCGTATTTTTACCTTTTAGATGGAGAAGATCTTAAATCTGGCTGGGCGAGAATCAAAACAGCGACGATATGCAAGACGTGGGAGGTACGAAAAAGGGCATCAAAGCAAAATTTGCATTTAATAATTTAACATTTAAGATTCAAGCAAATTTTCAAATTCCATCATTTTAGGACTTTTGGACAATTGGCAAAACGAGGGACGGGCGACACTTTTGGATGCGAAACGGCGGAACAAAAATCGAGCGGTGGGGGGAAAGCAGCGTTGAAATTTGTTCAGAATATCCTTGTAAATTAATCTCAAAATTCCTTGATCAATCTATTTTGTAAACTCGTAATTTTCGAGATCGATCAAGCACTGACAAATTGATCGACCATTTTGACACCGCTTCAATATTGGATTGTGGAAAGGAGAGCGCGAATGCTAGTATTTGAATGAATTTCGAGCAGAAGAAACTAAATGAGAGTTTAGATTTCGAAGAATCCGAATATCCGGATGAAGATGCGCAGATTGGTGGCAATGGAATGCGAACCGGATTGGAGATGAAGAGGGAAGTGGAGGTGGATCGAATCGACGGGTGAGTCTACGAGAGATAAATGCCACTTCAGCATGCTTGTTTTGCCTTTTTGGATGTCTAGTTCTAGAATCCTGTTCTACAATCCAAAGCTTTACTCGATCACTTTAATTCTATAACTTTAGCAGGTATTTCTGTAATAAAGAAGTGAAGGAATTTGCAAGAAAAGGTAGATTTGAACCGGAGAAGGGATTAGAACCCTCGACCTTTCTTTTCCGCTTCAGGCAATTAACAACCACTGAGCTTACGAAGTACTCTAACTTGCCAAGAGAAAGAAGGAAAGATAAGGAAGAAGAAGAAGAAAGAAGTCTACAGAAAGCCATTTACAAGGTTTTCAGTAGGCTTATACACACCTGGTGGTCATTGGAATTATGGATAAAACCCACCGATTGGATACATCAAGCATGAGCTAAAACAATACCGTAAAAGGATCGCAATGCTGTTACAGAGCCACTTGGAAGGAGGGCTGTTAAGAATGCTGTTAAGAGCCTCTCCTGTACGCCCATAGCTCAGTGGTGGAGCTGTCTGAAAAGCCAACGGTCTCGGGACCTCGATCCCCGGGCGGCATAGAGGGTGCATTCCTTTGAGAGCTCATTGCAGAATTTTACTTCAATGACGCTGACGAACTTGGTACTAATCTATATCTGACGCCTTCTCAGTCATGGCAGTGTCGAGACTCCGGTCGAAGGCTCCGGCGCTGTCGAGGGATCAGGAACTGGTAATAGAGCTTGAAAATAAATAAAAAAGAAAGATAATCAGAGCAACTAATAACCGGAGAGCTCCACTAGTGGACGGAAACCAAGAACGGAAAATGGAGACAAAATTGTTGTGGATGGTGAGTGAAGTTGGCAGGTTGAGGAGATTTTCATTCAGGTGGTGTCGAGAAAATCGTTTTCGGTGATGGCAGTCTTCAAATTGACAACAAAGCGAATGTCGTAAGAAGAAAAGAAAATAAAACTTATTAGAATAATTTGCAGATCACTACCGATGAGGCAAAATTGTGTGAACACGGGAATGGATGCAACGGTATCGAGCCGAAGTCGAGCGATTGCATAAAGATCGAGAAGATGTTGGTGCAAGAGTTTGAGGGCGGAAATTGAGTTGAGCGGGGGGGGGGGGTAAATGTTTGTTTCAAAAAGTCAAAAAAGCCAGCTGATGTCTAGACTTGATTTAATACTTTTCCCTAGAAAACTTAGGAGGCAAAACGAATGGATCGGGTTGGCTTGGCTTGACTTTGTACTGCAGTTAGAAAAACCTCTATATGCAAGCTCCCATGATGTCAAATATTATACAGCTAATACAAAACTTTTCGCAGGAATTTGGCGGACGAAACGAGTCGTCATGCGATTTGTACATGAGATGCAGAAATCAGGTGGGTATCCGCAGCTTTACAACCGCAATTCGGTTGTAAAATCTTGTTTATGATAGTGTAATCCATGAATGTAATGTCTCCCAGGATCAATAATAAAGTAAAGAAACGAATAGCAAAAAAATTCTGACAGAGGGGAATTTGAACCTCGACCAGTCAATGCAGAGCCGAGCGTACTGAGCAGAGCTGAGCGTACTGAGCAGAGCCGAAAAAACGTACTGAGCAGAGCCATACGCCCTGCTTTGCCCTAACAGAAATAAGAAAGACAAGGAAGGAAGAGAAGGGACATACCCGGTCTTCAGAACGGTGGGCTTAGTCATAAAGAAATTGGGAAGAAATGAATGCAAAGAATCGGGAAACTGGCGTTTTTTGCCATTCATTTCTTTACTAATTGAACTCTCGACCTTCTGCTTACCGGGTAGATGCTCTATCGCTGAGCTATTGAAACTGTAGGTTTAAGATTAGAAACAATGATAACCAGATGCATGGCGTTGGATGGATGCGCGTGGCGTTTCGCTTCGGTGAAAATCTGATGTCATGGCGGAAAAGCTCGGAAAGTCTCCTGTATAGGTAAATTGGTATTTTTCTTATAAGCTGTTTACCGTA